CAGTAATATGAGTTAACAGTGGATAGGTCTTTCTGAAATCCTTAAATTCTTTAGAAAACATAGGGACCAGCAGTTGCTAATGGTTGTCACTGGACTCCCATGTAGTCACCTGCGGTTTGAGTCCCGGACCCAGTGGGCGCGTGTGCGTGCATGCCCAAGATCCTGAGAGGAGAATGAAGAAGGGATTGTGGCGTGGCCATCCCCCTGGGGGGGTGATTTCTTGCTTTTTGTCTCTGTCTCTCTCTGTCTTTCTGGAGAGTGCACGTGCCCTATAGCAAAAACCTCTCCAAAAAAAGAGAAAACAAAAGAGAATATTTAATGTTGCTAAATTCAGTGTTAAATAAGGATATGATAAAGATATTACACACTTAGTACACATACAATCTGAAACACATAAAAATATACACTGGGGTAGTACTAAATCACAAAAACAAATTCTAATTGGGAAATCTCTGCTAATACTTTCAAATGTTGTAGCCACAATTATCTAAGTTCTTATAAACAATTATCTAAGTTCTTATAAACAATTATCTAAGTTCTTATAAACAATTATCTAAGTTCTTATAAACCTACCCCACTGTCTTCAGAGATACACCTACATATTTCTTGTGTGTGTTATTTAATCCAGTCATTCCCACATTTAAAAAAAAAAAAATCAGACTTGGGAGTTTGAAGGACCTTTATAAGATAATCTGATTAAATCTTCTAATTTTTTTTTCCTCTATGTGTATATGAGGTGTTATTTTACATGGGATCTTCGCCAAGTCATGTATTTTCTGCTTCAGACTCCAAAGTAGCTGAGATTACAGGCCTTTTTTAGGATGGCCATGGGAATCCCCCCATGTGGTCTCAACTTGCAGAGCAATCATATGCAGCAAGTGGCTGGGTCACAAACCATATAGAACAAATGGAAAAAAGCAAAATTTCTGATTTAGTACTCTCTACGACTTCACTGTATAAGCTATTGGGTCGTCATAAAAATCAGGGCACATTTTTGCATAAAAAAATACATCATGACTTTTCAGATGATCCCATAGTTTATTAAAATATTGCAGATAGGGCCAGCCTGTGGCCTAGTGGTTAAGGAGGCTGGATCCCACAAGCCAATTGTGCAGTCAGAGTCCTGCACCCCCTGATTTGAGAAACATGCTAGTGTGTGCACACATGCCCAAAATCTTGAAAGGAGGGGAAAATGAACGAGGGGGATGGCTGTGTAACCACTCCCCATAGGGGCGCTTTTTCATTTTCCCTTTATCGTTTCCCTCCCTCCCTGCTGCTTCTCTACAGCAAATAAAAATGCCCTCTAGCAAAACTTAAAAATCAAAAATCCAGATAAGGGCTTATTTTTCTTTCCATCATATGACCATAACACAGTAGGTTAATGTGAATAAATATTAAGCTAAAGTGCACACATAACAGTAGGTTAACATACAAGTTTGACTCATTCCTTTTAAAAATTGATGAATTAAATAATTTTTCTGTAACACTTTAATAGCAAAGATTGACTTCAATAAATATTACATAGTTAAATTTCAATAAGTTTGCAATCATTTTAATCACTCACTCTAAAGAAAAGTTTTTACTATCTGGCCCTATGACAAAGATCCAGTCATAGCTATTTTCTCTAAATATCTGTAATACTACCTATAATACACTTCAAGATGCAAGTTTTGCTGCACCAAAATAAAAATACACCTAGCTCTTACAGTGACTACATATACATTAAACCAAGGCAAAATCACTGACACTTAAAAATGAAAACTGAGGGCCAGTAGGTGACTGGTGATTAAGTCATTGGATCATACATGGCCAACTCTGCAGAGCCCAGACTGGCAGCTTATACGTGTGCCCAAAATCTACAAAGAACTGAAGAGAAAGAATTGCAGTATGGCCATTCCCTGGGGAGGGAAATTTCTCACTTTCCTTCTTTCTCTTCAGCAAGCACATGTGTCCTATGGCAAAAATCTAAAAAGAAAATTGAATCTTAATATTAAAAGCAAGTGGGCCGGTCAGTTATACAGTGGTTAAGGCAGCTGGATCCCCTATAGTCAACTGCACAGTTCAGGTCCTAGACTTGATAGCAAGTTGGACACCTAGCGTGAGTGCGCCAAATCTCAAGAGAAGAATGGATCGCAGCTTGGCCATCACCCTGAAGGGTGTTTTCTCACCTTCCCCTATCCCTCTCCGTCTCTCTCCAATGAGTACACACAGTCTGCAGCCAAAAAAAAAAAAAAAAAGTCAAGAAAGCATTCAGGGCCAGCTACTGGCATGGTGGTTAAGGCAGCTGGAGCCCACACAGCAGACTGGACAGTTAACAGTCCTGGACCAGGGGGCTTGAAGAACATGCTGGGCACATGTGCATGCACAGAGGCATGCCCAAAATCTTGAGAGAAGATATTGCAGCAGGGCCATTCCCCCAGGGGGTGCTTTTTCACCTGAAGCACCTTTACCCCTGTTAGCATATGCACACTATAACAAGGAAAACAAAAAAGAACTTAATAGCACAGTATGGTGGAAAGATTTCAAAAAAAAAAAAACCTCTTCAAACCATCTGAATTAATTATCTATGGATTTCTATTACACATGAAAGCCACCTTAGCCACACCATGATACTAAAAATAGCCAACGCTATTTTGTAAAAATACCCTAAAGCAATAAGTGATGGAGATCAAAAAGTATTTTTAAAAGCTCAACCATTTAAAGAACTAATCACAGATAATGTCCCAATTAAAACTGATAGTTCATCCTTCTTTTATGAATGCCTACCAATTTCTCTTTGCAAGAAGAATAAGATGCTGACTGACAGAAACAAAAATATGCAAAATGTCAAAAAGACAAAAACTTTACATAGGAGTCATTGTATATTTGTACACTTCTGAGAACATGGAAAAACAACCCTGACAACTAATGCCCACAAAGACAAAATGCCTTAAGAAGCAACCACCATTTCAACAGCACAGGATCCTGCTATGATCCAAGAACATACAGGATGTCAATAATCCTGTATATCAAGACTTATAAGGGGACCAGCAGTTAGTGTAATGGCTATGTCACTGAACTCCCATGTGGCTGATCGCAGTTCGAGTCCCAGAACCGGTCGCTTAAACTCACGCCGGGCGTATGTGCATATGTGCCCAAGATCCCAAGAGGAGAATGGAGGAGAAGGGATTGCAGCGTGGCCATCCCCCCTGGAGGGGGGGGAAGGTGATTTCTTGCTTCCTATCTCTCTGTCTCTCTGGCTGTGCATCCGCCCTATAGCAAAAAAAAAAAAAAAAAAAAAACCTCTCAAAAAAAAAAAAAAGACTTATAAGCATCAATCATCTTGTAACATAAAGAAAGAGTTAAAACAATTTGAATTACTCTTTAAGACAGAGAACTATCTAAGTTGTTATAGGAATAATCCCATTCTAAATAATTTTTTAAAAAGCATGGGAGTGTTGTTAAAAGGAGTAAGTTTTCTAATATATAAAAAACATGAAAGCTGGGGACCAGCAGTTGGTGTAATGGCTATGTCGCTGGACTCCCATGTAGTCGACTGCGGTTGAGTCCCAAATATGGTGGCTTAAAACTCACAAAGGGCGCCTGTGTGCCCAAGATCTTGCGGCATGGTCATCCCGCCAGGGGGTGATTCTCGCTTTCTCTCTGGTGAATACACGCACCCTATAGCAAAAACCTCTCTACCCCCAAAAAAAGGAAAGATGAAAGCAATCTTTTTTTTTTAGATTTTTGCTATTGGGTGCGTGGGCTTGATGGAGCAACATAGAGAGGGAAAGCGAGGAACCCTACGGGAGATGAGCAGGCTGCAATCCCTTCTTCATTCTCTCAGAATTGTGGGCACGCACAGACTCCCGGTATGAGGTTTTTTTTTGTTTTTTTTTTGTTTTTTTTTTTGAGAGATTTTCACTGTAGGGCACGTGCGCTCGCCAGACAGACAGAGAGAGACAGAGAGACAGAAAGCGAGAAATCACCTCCCAGGGGGGATGGTCACGCCGCAATCCCTTCTCCTCCATTCTCCTCTCGGGATCTTGGGCACGCACGCACACGCGCCCGGCGTGAGTTTTAAGCCACCGGGTCCGGGACACGAACCGCGGTCGACTACGTGGGAGTCCAGCGACATAGCCATTACGCTAACTGCTGGTTCCCTACTCCCGGTATGAGTTTCAAGCCACAGGGTCTGGGACTCAACCTCGGTGGTAGTACAACGCCTTACCCACTTGGCCCCCCTTGCTGGTCTCGCAACCATTCTTGATATCTGTACCTTTTCTGGATTTTATGGCATGATTTCAAAATCTATAAAATATTCACCACTATCATCTCTCCATCATTGTTACCAACTGGTAACTACTGGACACTCTTCCTTGCCGAACGGGGAAGACACACAGACTGACGTATTGTTCTCCTTCCTGGTTTCAGGTACTTGAAGTAAGTATCGGACCTGAAAACATTTCATTGTTCCGTGGTGGTATTTGTGATCCCTAATGCAAAAATTTGGTACCCCGCAGAAAGTACTGTTATGGGAAGAAACTAAATCAATGCACAAAATGGTGCTTTTAAACACAAAGTGATTAGGTATTCTCCTTGCCGGCAGACTAGACTTTGCTCCTTAAAAGTCTAAAGATGAGCCAATTTGCACACTTCCTCTTATGGCATATAGAGCTTCAAAACGATCACCTTCTTCCTACGATCACCTTCCTCCTACGGAGCAATTACCTCCCCCAAAAGGCCAGAGAGGCTCACAGCTGCTCAGAAGCATGCGAGAACTTTGCGAGAGCTCGGGTAAGACCCTGGATTTGAGTTTTCAGGAAATCTGTAACAGAGTGGCCTGTGCTACTTAACTATGCACAACAGCCGCTGCCCGGTGGGAGAAAAAAGGTCGGAGTAGAAGAAAAGCTTCTCTACAGTTTTAACCCTGGTGATTCAGGCTCCTTGGCCGTCACCCTCCAACCCTAACCTGACAGGACGTCAGGTTGCGCCACCCCCTTCCCCACTAAACCTCCTACCTTCCCCACAGTAGTGCTCGGTCTTACGATTTTGAAGCATCAAAAATCAACCCGTCTCCCAGAGTTCAGGCCGCGGTCGCTGCCGCCATATTACAGCTTGTGCGGCAAAATGCGTCAGGGAGGGAACTGTGCGCCCGAGTGGGGAGGGCGGGGGCTGGCAGAGGCAGGGCCGTTTCCCAGGCCCGTGAGGCTTGGCCGGAAGTCCTTTTCAGCTGCTGCTGCAATGCCAGCGCCGCGATCCTCTGGGGCGTCCTACGGGCCCAAGCGGCCCTGCTACCTCGAGAGGAAGACGGTTAGCTTGGCCCGGCCCGCTGCACCGGCTCCGCCCCTCTCTCTAGGTCCTTCCCGCTCTCGAAAGCCGGGACTGCTGCAAATAACGCCACCAACACACGAGTCTCGCGCCACTTACCTGCACCGGGAGAATTTCCTTTCCCTGGGTCCGGTCCTTTAAAGCGCTTCAAATATACCGCCGCCAGAAAAGGCGCTAAAGCCCACTAACCGCCTCCCTCCCCCTCAGCCCAGTCCCGGCGTGGAGGGAAAGCGTCGCGCCGGAAGTTCGTCACGATAGGTGGACGCTAGCTAGCGGCGTTCGGTGCATGCGTCACCACGCCCTTCCTGGAGTTCCAGGGGCCTTTAAAATAAGTAGCTTACAGGTAGCGTAATAGCTCGTGTGTGAGTTCACCGGGGACTTTTATAACCAGCAGGATATCGTATCATTCGTAAGATGAAGTGCTCTTTTTAATAAACATTTATTGATTCTCGACCAGGATATTGGGAAGAAAGCCCTATCTACGTGGAGCGTCCAGCTCAGCCTCCAGTTAACTCTGGGATACAGGTTCTAAAAATCAGTAATAAAGTGCTATTTAAGGAAAGAGCAGACAATGAGCAAAGTCATTGACCTTTTTCTTTTTTTTTTAAATCTCGCAGCAGCTCCATGAAATAGATTATTCTTGTGTTACACGTAAATCTAGGCTCAGAGAGAATAAATACCTCCCCTCAAACACAGATGGAAAATACCAAATCAAGTCTTTTTTTTTTTAGAGGTTTTTGCTATAGGGCCCCTGCGCTCACCAGAAAGACAGAGAGACAGAGAGACAGAAAGCGAGAAATCACCCCACAGAGGGAATGGCTACACTGCAATCCCATCTCTTTTCTCCTCTTAGGATTTTTGGGCATGCATGCACATACGCCCAACATGAGTTTCAAGCCTCCAAGTCTGAGACTTGAACTCTGTTAGTCATGTAGGATTCCAGTGACAAAACCATTACAATATCTGTTGGTCCCAAAAGGTTTCAAAGGGGTTATCTTAGCCCATTATTGCAATGCTAACAACTACCTGAGGCTGGGTGAATTATATAGAAATAGGGTTTAATAACTTACAATTCTGGAGGCTGGAAAGTCCAAGGGTATCACAAAATGGAGGAAGGCAGAACTTTTAGTACAGTCTGGTCTGTATCCATGTGACTTTCTCTGCCATTCTGGTCTCATTTCTTCTGTTTATATACCTGCCATAACTCAATTATATAGGCCCCACCTCAATGACATTATCTCATCCAAAAGGCTCATTCTGGGACACCATGAAGGGATTAAGTTTTCACTTAATAACTTTATAATATCTTCAAGTCACAGCACATGAATTTCTGGGGACTGTCTAATCTCTTCCCACTTAGGATCAAATTCAAAAACATTAAATTGAACCATAACACTTTCCCAACCACTGAAGCCATCCATTTTCTGTCTCTATGCATTTATTTTTTATTTATTTTTAAAAAAGAATTATTTTATTTAACTCGTATTTTTATTTTTAATTTGGCCAGAGAGGCACAGAGTGAAAGAGAAAGAGAGAAAGTGAGAAAGCAAGCCACAGGTCTGGGACTTGAACTGTGGTCGGCCATGTGGGAACTCAGTGCCCTTACCCACCACATCGCCTGCTAGCCCCTATTTATTTGATTTTAGTTTTTCTTCAGACAGGATCAGGCTGTTGTGATCCTCTGCCTCAGCCTCCTCAGTAGCTGGAATGACAAGTATGTGCCACCGTATCCAACTACTTTTTCAAACTGTCTGTCCCTATGTTGTCCAGGCCAGCTTGAGATCCTTTTGCATCAACCTCACAGGTTACTGGGATCACAGTCACACACTACTCTGCCCAGTCTTTAGTCTGAACCAGGAATCGAACTCAGTTCTCATGTGATCCCAGCTTGAGGAGTATAGCATCTTGGCAGAGCACACCACCACACCTGGGGCTGTCTCTATGTGTTTGACTACCCTTCCACCTTATATAAGTGGAATCATCAGGATTTATCTTTTTCTTTGTTTAGTAAATTTGTTACCTAAAGGCCACGTGCACTCACCAGAGAGACAGAGAGGGAGAGAGAGAGAGAGAGATTGAGAAAGCACCCTCCACTCCGTCCTGGAGAGATGGCGACATATCAATTCCTTCTCCTCTATTTCTGCTTTTGGAATTTGGGGCATCCCTGCACATGTGCCCAGCATATTTTTTCAAGTCACCACGCCTGGAATTGGAATTGCACAATCAGTTGTGTGGGATCCTGCTGCCTTAACCTCCATGCCTTCTGCTGACCAAGTATTTGTCTTTTTGAGACTGGCTTATTTCATTTAGAATGTTTTCATGCTTCATCCATATTGGAATATTTGTTAGGAATTTGTTCATTATTTTAATTGCTAGTGGGCATGTGCACTTGCTAGAGGGAAAGAAAGAGAGAGAGAGAGAGACAGATGGAGAAAGCAACCCCTTGCCAAAGACAGAGTCAGAGAGAGGGAGAAAGCACCATTCAATGGGGTGTAATCGCGTCATAATTCATTCTCCTCCATTTCTCCATTCCACTGGGATCCTGGGTGTGTTTTTCAAGCCTCCAAGGCTGGGATTTAAACTGAGGCATGGTCACAGTGCAATTCCTTCTCTTCCATTTCTCCATTTTTTTAGGATCCTGTGCAAGCTCACACACATGCCTAGTATATTTTTCAAGCCTTTGGGACTGAGATTCACACAGTGGTTGGTCATGTGTCAGATACTTAACTACTAGGCCACTGGGCTGGTTCTTTTCTTCTTTTTAAAGACTGAATAATATTCCACGGTACTAATATACCACCAGGTCCAGATTTTGAACCATGAAGTTGGCCATGTTGGATCCAGCTGCCTTAACCACCACACTACCTGGCTGGCACCTATGTGAGTGTGTGTCCCTGGCTGGCGCCTATGTGTGTGTGTGTGTGTGTGTGTGTGTGTGTGTGTATTTGGTTTTTCTATAGGGCATCTGTGGTCATGTGTGAGAGACAGGGAGAGAGAGAAAAATGTGAGAAATCATCCCCCAGGGGGGATGGCCATGCCACAGTCTCTTCTTCACTTTCATTTCAGGACTCTGGGCATGCATACACATGCACTCAGCATGATTCCCAATGTGAGTGTGTCTATTTATTTTTCTTTTAAGAGAGATTCTTGCTGTAGGGTGCATGTGCTTGCCAGAGAAAAAGAGAGACAGCCAAAAATCACCTTCCCAGGGGGAATGGCCATGCCACAATCCCTTCTCCTCCACTCTCCTCTCAGGATTGTGGGCATGCACTCACATGTGCCTGGCATGAGGGTTTTTTTGTTTTGTTTTTTGTTTATTTTTTATTTTATTTTATTTTTTGCTATAGGGCACATGCACTCACTGGAGAGATAGAGATAGACAGAAAGTGAGAAATCACCCCCCAGGGGGGATGGTCATACATTTTCTTCTCAGGATTTTAGGCGCGCACACACACAAGCACCTAGCATGAGGTTGAAGCCACCAGGACCAGGACTTGAGCTGTGGTTGGCCACGTGGGAGTCCAGCAATGTAACCATTATGCCATCTACTGGTCCTGCGCCTGGCATGAGTTTTAAAGCAGCTGGGTCCAGGACTCAAACCACAGTAGAACACGTGGAAGTCCAATGACATAATCATTACTCCATCTGCTGGTCCCTCTTTAAAAAAAAAAAATGTTATAGGATGCTTGTGCTTGCTGAAGAGAGACAGAAGTTGGGGAATAAGAAAGCATCCCCTGGGCAATGACCACTCTGCAATCCTTCTCCTCCTTTCTCCTTTCAGGATTTTGGGCATGCATGTACACACACCCAGTGTGTTTTTCAAGCCACCAAGTCCAGGATTTGAACCATGAAGTTGGCCATGTCAGATCCAGATCCAGCTGCCTTAATCACCACACCACCTAGCTGGCACCTGTGTGAGTGTGTGTGTGTGTGTGTGTGTGTGTGTGTGTGTAGTATATATATATATATATACGGCATGTGTGGTCATGTGAGAGAGACAGAGAGAGAGAATGATGTGAGAAATAATCCCCCAGGGGGATGGCCATGCCACAATCCCTTCTCCTTCACTTTCCCCTTGGGACTACTCTGGGCGTGCATACACATGCACTCAGCATGGTTCTCAAGAGGCTGGATCCAGGATCAAACAATGAAGATGGCCACATGGGATTTAGCACCCCAATTTCCATGCCACCTGCTGGTGGCTCCTATTTGTTTATTGATTGATTGATTTTAGATTCCATTTATTTAACTGTATTTGTTTATTTATTTGTTTTAATTTGACCAGGCAGAGAGAGAGAGAGAGAGAGAGAGAGTGAGAAAGCAAGCCACTAGGTCCAAGACTTGAACCAAAGTCAGCCATGTGGGAGTTCAGTGCCCTCAACCACCATGCCACCTGCCAGCCCTGCTCCTGTTTATTTTTAAATAAAACATACACTTCCATGAATTTGCTGCTTTTTCTAAAGTTATTTTATTTCCTCCATGAGTGAAAGAGAAAAGAGTTAGACCCAACAAGGTTTTGACACCACAGTCCACCTCCAGCTTTAGCCAGCTATGGCTCATGGGCACACACATGCCCAGCAACTAAGGGAGGTCTTTGGACTTGAATGAAAATTTTCCATGTAGAATTGCCTTGTGGAGCATTGCATTTTATTGCTGCACTGCTGTGTGGCCTTGAGTATATTGTACTTTATTTATTTGTTCATCTCTCTATGGCCAGTTGGGTTTTTCTACCCTTTGACACCTTTTGACTATTGTGAATAATGCTGCCATGTCCACTGGTATACGAATATTTGTTTGGGGTTCTTGTTTCAGCCCTTTGAGTTTATATCTGAATATGAAAATGCCAGATCACATGACAAAACTATGTTTCATTTTTTTGAGGAACTGCCGTATTGTTTTCCACAATAGCTGCACCATTTTTTACATTTACAGTATTTACATTTACATAAGCAGCAATACACAAGAGTTCCAATTTCTCTACATCTTGGT